TTGAGGGTGCAAGAAAATTAAGAGCCATCTTGAAGGGTTTTTTTGCAGGGAATGGCAGAGTGGGAGGAAAACTCGTGAACCGGGCACTTATCTGCAGTAGCAAAAATGTGGGAAGCTTGGGCTTATGCAACATTTTCGACTTAAGTAGGGGGTTCCTATCTAAAGGGTCCTTGCTACTTGGGACCGAGTTAAAATTCCTTTGGAGGAAATTGATTCGTAGCATCTATCGATATGACTAAGAGTACTTTATGCCTCTCCATCGTGCCAAACTTGGCCTCTCATATCCAGTGGTATGTTTTTCCCCTCTGTTGTGCCAAAGTTCGCCTTTCATGTTCTAGTGGTGGCCACAAGGATATGAACCTCCACAGTGGGTACATCTACCCCCATACTTGACTCATTTAATAAATTCATTACTTGTATGAGGTGAGTACATATTTCTTCACTCATTTCCATTATGTGAGTAATATTTTATACCTGTAGTCTACCTAGTTTAACCATTTATTTCATTCTAAAAAAATTTTAAAAAAATAATTTGTTTTATTCAATAAATATAACAAACTAACTAAAGTAATATAAAAACAAATAATATAAGCATTTTAAACACAAACTTAATAATAACATTAAATCAATAATTTAATCATAAAATATATGTATAATTTAAAATAAATTTATTACTTGTATGGGGCGTGTAATTTAAAATTTTTTAAATCTATTATCACTTTCACTATTATTTTCTTCATTGTTAATTTACTTGTATGATATATGGGGCGTGTAATTTAAAATTTTTTAAATCTATTATCACTTTCACTATTATTTTCTTCATTGTTAATTTACTTGTATGATATATTGGATGAAGACATATAATTTAGAAAATAAAAGCTAAAAATTATTTTCTCGTACCAAATGGATCATAATTGTTCTTGTGTTGCTCATACTTCTGAAAAATGCTTGTTCTCGCATTTCAATCCACCATCTAATCAAATTCTTTACTGGTTGAGCTGCAGATTAAGAAGTGTCCACAGGTTTTGTAGATCGTATGTGCTGATCAGGTTCGTTCTCTATGGTTCTTGATTTGTAGTCTTTCCAGATTTTACAGATTTCATTCTACTTGAATGAATACAAAGGTTGATGTCAGTTGCAGCAAGGTGCCATGGCATTTATAGGCTTCTATGATTCTCGGGAGATCTTTTGATGGTGTTAGAATTCAATGATCATCTCTTAATATGTACCTGGATCCTTCTAGGTTTTTGTGATTCTCTTGCTGCTCGTTTTAAGGTTGCATAAGAATATATGTGCTGATTCACTAGGATTCTGATGTGGTCTAAGTGAGTGGATTTGCAGTTTCATTAGGCTTTTGCTTTGGTACTTGTAACCTGCTGATCTGTATGTTATTCTAATTGTATCCTTTTGGAGTTTGTTGGCTCTAGAAGCTTGTATAGGGAGAAAATTACTCTTTCAAAAAAAAAAAAAAAAATCTATGGTTTATGCATTATTACAGTTTGTATAAACATGCTAAGCTCTATAGTTCTCTTGAAGATGAGGGTATGTCCTAAACGGTTAAATAGTAAAGCTGATAATTGAATTTTCGACTAAACAATCATCTATTTAAATTGTTTACTGAGATAAATATCTAAATCCGAACCTAAGTATGCTGATATCTATCAGAGGCGTAAATCACTGATTTGTGTTTGATTCAATTCATAATCATTCTCAGCTTATTGCTATGTCTAGTCTTTATATTAGTTTAGGCATTTAAAATTAAAACTGTCCCCTACTTATTCCTATGTCTAATCTTCACATCAGTTTTAACGTTTTAAAATTAGAACATAGTTTGCACATTTTAATTCATCCGCTCTCTCGCTTTGAGCATTTCTAGGTCAAAACTCAATTCCTGTTAATTAAATTAAAAATTGAATTGTCACCCTTAAGTAATTTAAGATGGAAGCAAGGGGTGACATTATAAGTAAAATATGTTATAATTTGTATGTATGTTAAGAGTAAGGTAAAAAATAAAGGTAGAAATTAAGCAATTGAACTGAACTAAATCAAATGTAGAAGTGGTATCATTACCTGGAGCCATATACCCAATAGTAGCAAGCGTCAAGGTATGTCTCACAGACACATCATCTCCTAAAAGTTGAGAAATGCCAAAATCAGCCACATGAGCAACCACATTTTCATCTAGCAGGACATTAGTAGGCTTTAAATCACAATGGACAATTGGTGATGGAAGACTGTGATGAAGATATTCCAGTGCTGATGCAACATCTATCATTATGTCCAATCTCTGTAGCAAGTTTAGGAAATGGTTGGGAGAATACAACCAGTTTTCAAGACTCTGATTAGACATGAACTCCAGCACCAAGGCCTTAAAATCATCATTGGAGCAACCGCTAATGATTTTGACAAGATTCCGATGGCGGATATTGCGCATCATATAACTTTCAACTTCAAAACTTCTGAGAGCTTCCTCTAACGGCAACTTGAAAACCTTTATTGCAACGTCTACCCCATCCACAAGTGTTCCCTTATACACTGAACCAAAACTTCCCATTCCGAGCAAGTTTCTTTCGCTGAATCCATCAGTAGCTCTTTCAAGTTCAAAATATGAAATTCTTCTCCATGTTGCAAGGGGTGAGAAGCTTTGTGTGTTCTGCTTGGTGGCCTGCTGTTTATGTCTCCGCCTATAGATGATAAAGATAACAGCTGCTATCAATATTATGGATGCAATTCCTGGAAAAATGAACTGGAACACAAGTGACATGACCCTTTTGGATCGATGAATAGCTGGGCTTTTGCAATGCGGAACCAGTAGTTGCGATGAACCACAGAGAGCATAATTATGCAGAAATGATTGAGATGACAAGTTTGTAAAAGGCCCTCCAGGAGGGATTTCTCCTTCTAGCCTGTTGAAAGACACGTTAAGCTGCTTGAGATGAGAAAGCTTTTCCAAGGATTTGGGAATAACTCCTGAAAGGTTGTTGTAAGAGAGATCCAAGAATTCCAGGCTTATCAGATTTCCAAATGACTCGGGAATATGTCCTTGTAAGCCATTTTTTGCCAAGGAAAGATACAGAAGATCTTTTAGGCCTCCAATGCTTTCTGGAAGATTACCGAAAAATTGATTCCTTGATAAGTCTAGTTTCGTCAAGGCCTCCAAACTTTCAATATCCATAGGGAGATTGCCAGTTAATGAATTCAAAGACAAGTTTATTTGCAACATGCCAGTGAGTCTCCATAAGGTAGATGGTACAGCAGAAGTTAGCTGATTGGAGCTTAAGTCTAAATTTCTAAGGGAAGACAAGTTATATAGGCATTCAGGCAAAGAACCGTGAAAGCCATTATCATTCAAGATCAAAGCATACAGACTCTGTAACTGACACAGTTCAGGAGAAATATATCCTTGTAATTTGTTTTGAGGAACATAGAGTGCTTGTAGATTTTGTAGTCTACCAATTGTGGCTGGAAGAACTCCAGTCAATTCATTGCTGTCAAGGCCTAAATCTATCAGATTGCTTAAGTTACCAATCTCTTTAGGAAGACCACCCCTAATTCTGCAATTTATGGCATATAACTTCTGAACAGATGAAGAGAGGTTTCCAATAGAGATTGGAAGGCTGCCGGCCAAGGGATTATATGATAAGTCGATTACTCTCAACTGTCTGCAATTTGCCAAAGAATAGAGAAAGCCCCAAGGAGAATCAGAAGATTGTGCCGTCAAATTATTATGGTGCAGGCTGAGTAATTGGAGGGATTTTAGGTTTCCAAGTGTATCTGGTATATGGCCTGAAAAAAAGTTTGAGCCCAATTCCAGGAGTACGAGTTGGGAAAGATTGGATATAGAAGCTGGGATCACTCCATTAAGGTTATTTCCCCACAGGTAAAGCTCCTCAAGATTTGGAACCAAAAGACCTATGCTTGATTCAAGATGACCATAGAGGTTATTGTTTTCTAGTTCAATGACTCTTATGGTTGAGATGTTGAAGGTAGTGGGTGGCATTACACCAGTTAAATTGTTGAAAGCCAGATTCAGATAGTCCAGACTTTGTAGGTTGCCAATGTCATCAGGTATTTCACCTGCTACAGGGGAAACATTCATAACTTTATTATATGAAAATTCCTTAAAGAAACCAATATATGCAGGATAAGTCAAGATGATATAAAGATAGAAACTAAACCTTGTAAGTTGTTATAACCCAGATAAACTTGTTGGAGCTTGGTCAAGTTTCCAAAACTTCTGGGTAATCTCCCTGTGAATTTATTGAGTGACAGTGCCAATAGTTGAAGCTCCCTACACTTACCCAAGCTTGAAGGAAGCTGACCATACAATTCATTAGCAGCAAAGGAAAGATACTCAAGTCTAGGAAGAGCATCACACATTTCATCTGGTAGAGTACCAGACAAGCGATTGTCTTGCAAACTAAGCTTCTGCAGCGAGGAAATATTGAAGATGGTCCAAGGAATAGATCCAGAAAGGTTATTTTGCGTCAAATATAGTACTCTGAGGTTCGCAAGCTTACCCATCTCACGAGGAATGTTTCCATGAATGAGATTAAAACTCAAATCCAAGACCTCCAATTTAGACAAGTTGAACAGATAATACGGAATTGTCCCTGATAAACTATTATTACGGAGGCTGAACTGACGCAAATTCCGTAAATTACCAGTTGATGAAGGTATTCCTCCATTGAGGTGATTATAGGTCAAATTGATGAACTTCAAGCGCCGCGATTGAGTAATCTCTTCTGGTATTTGGCCATGGAAATTGTTGGTGCTCAAGTTTAAGGAGACAAGGAATGAGAGATTACCTAGATGAGGAGAGATAGTGCCCGTAAGCTCCATGTCTGAAAGGTCCAAAGCTGTGACTCTTCCATGGCGGAGACTGCAGGAGACACCAGTCCAGTGGCAAACAGAGGCAGAGGTAGTCCAATTGTTTAGCAAGATATTTTCATGGCTGAAGGTGATGAAGGATTTGAATGCCAGAAGAGCTGACTGATCAGTACTCAAATCTTTGATTGCCATTGCAGCTGTATATAAGCATGGCAAAAACAACATTGAAACCAAATGGAAACTCATCTTCATCTTCTCCATGAGTGCTCTTCTAATCTTGACCTGTATCTTATATTTCGTATTGACTACCCTTCCATGCGCGCGTATTTGATATTTTTTAATAGTAATATTTAATTTAGGTATAAAAGTAGTTTGCGTTTGGGCCAAAGCCAAGGTCAATATGTCAAGAGTCAAGAGTCAACATGTCAAAGTCAGTTTAGATTAGTATTTAATTAAATATAATTAGTGATGTTAATTATGATTAACTATCTTGTATAAATACTTAAATCTAGAAATAAAAATTATATATAATTTTTATATTTACAATACAGTCTCATTTTTTAATTTAAAACATTCATATATTTTTAAATTTTTACTATTTTCAAATTATAATGAGTGTCAAGTTTTAAAAAAAATAACTTAATAATTTACTCTAGAATTTATACTAATTGTCTATTTAAAATTTTTAACAATTAAAGATAATGGAGGACTTATATGAGTAATTACGTTAAATTTGTAATTGACATAAGATTTTGTAAACATCTTTTATAATTATATATATATATATATCAATTAAGAAACCAACAAAAGAAGATGAAATAAATTATTTTATATTTTATTAAAATTATTATTTTTATTGCTATTATCTTAATTTTCTGTTTTTATAATGTTAATTAACATATTATCAAGATCGTATCTAATAAAATAACAAATGATAACAAACATAATCACATAGTATAAGTAAATAATAATATGCATGGTAGAATAAGATATATATATATATATATGTGTGTGTACTTTCAAATAAACAGAAGTACCATAGAACTGACCTTTTAGACATATTTTATTGCTTTTCATTAATTATTTTATTTTTAATTATATTATTTATTACAAATATTTTATATAAATGTAATAAATAGTCTAATTATCTGTATATATAATGGAGTGCAGAATTAAATATAAAATAATTTTGGGAATCTAAATTATGTCACAGGCTATAGCTGGATCATGCATGCAGCTAGGGTTCATTGACTTCAATTATGGATTGTCTCCTTGCCTTGCATGTGCTAATGTTAGCCTAAGTGGTTTGAGAGAAAACATATAATACACACACACATGTATATATATATATATATATATATATATATATACTTGGAAGAATATAATACAAAGTTTAACTTTCATTCTTACAATAGCTCAAACTGGTATGATTAAATCTTGTACACAAGCATAGGATATGAAATTCAACGGCACCAAAATCCCAAGCTTTTGTTTACATATACATACACAAAACGTATATATAGATATATAGATATATATATATATATTGTATGTATGCCACCCACGACTGCTCTATGATTGCAAACAGCCATACATGTCCTTATCATATTCTACCTTTTGATATTAGCCCTCTAATTAAAATCCTGTCTTTTCTTTTATTTTCACATCTAAAATATCTTCATCCCTAACCTTGGCCTAACCTAATTTTCTTCCCTTCTTTTTTAAAAGCCAATGTCCACCATCTCCGAAATCTCACCTTCTTTCCCTGCTAACTCATCTACCTTGAGAGTTCAACTTGTATCAAAGCTAAAATCAGATAAGCTTCTCAACAAGTTCTTCGATGTATCTGAATATAACTTTAACTACGAACAGAGTGGATTGTGGTCTCCGCCTATTAAAAGAAACGCATTCTTGAATTCACCCACGAGTAGAATATTCACCGAACAAGACATGTCAGCTAAACTTAAAAATATTATGGATTCTCGTAGTCAGAGGCGAAAAAAGTACAATTTTGCATGTTTCAATGTATGGTAATGCCGTTTTCTTTTCTTTTGTTTTTCTTTTGTGTTTAACTTTTATTCTTCTATTACATATATATATATATATGATATTGAATTACATTCCCTAATACTTTATATTGAATCGTTAAATTTCATTATATGCAGGCAATTTGGTGTTGTTGAGGGAGACAGAATGCAGCACCTTCAACTTATTTCCATGGATGTGGGTGTTGCAGGTGAAGTTAGAAAACACAGGTAACCAGAAAAACAAAAAAGAAAAAAAATGGAACAAATTTTTTTTTCCTTCTTTATCTTTGTGAATTAATGCAAATGTAATTTTTTTTTTTGAAAATATATACAGTAAAAATATTTTTCTCAGATATGCCTATTTATCATTATTATTGCTTGTCTATTTATGTATTTATTGCCTTCATATGAATTCACTGTTCCGCTCAGAGAATACATATCTATTTATATATTATTATTATTATTGTAATTTTCTTAATTGGAGTATAAGTTTTTAATTGATAAAAAAATTAGTATAAATGTAAAATTCAAATAATTTAAATTATATATATCTTTTGCTATTAGACAGGTTTCTTTTGATATTACACGCGTGTCTTTTTATTATTCGTCTTTCGGATCACAAATTTATTGATACTTTCATTTTTCTTTGGTTGAAATTTATTCAATTCCAATTTAATTTTTGGTTATTCTTAAACTAATTATAATTTTTATATATACTTTTTAAGTAATTAAATCACTTTTACTCATATGTTTAATTTCATAACTATAATTTGTATTCCTACATGTTAGAGACTTGAATCATAAACTACTTAATTTAAATTAAACACGAAATTAACTTATAATTAAAACATTACTTTTATTGAAAATCTTATTATAATTTTCTTGTATTCTTATCTACATCATATAAAATTAAAATTTAATGAATTCTTATATTTTTATTTTAATTTGGGAATATTATAATTATCTTTAACGTTCTCATCAATCTAAAATTATCATATTATAATCATTTGATATTGGGTGTAATTATCATGATTGTGCTGTAACTTGGGTGGCATGATATTGTTGATGAGGTCAAAAATAGTGCTGCTTGTGATAAGGTCACCATTGAAGACAATGCTACAGTTATTGGATAATGCTAACAAGGATGAGGATGATGAAGTTCACGAAGGAGGTGGAAGAGATAATCGAACATATAAACTAGTGATATAGAGAAAGACTTGGTTAATGATCAATAAAAAAATATAGCTAAATCAATATATTATTGAGTATGAATTTAGACGATGATAACGTAATGAACCCATAATCTTGTTTATAACCCTCAAATCGGGATGTCAAATGCAAAGCTTAAATCGTATGAAGTTTATATTACTATAGGTGTTGAATGAGACAATTACAAAAAATTCATGTCAATAGATTGATTTATGTCCAAGTACATCAAAATTAAGAACATGATAAGATTAAAATATGATTAATAAAAATGTAACTAATACTTGTATGTTTCTAAATTAAAAGATTATAGTACTTTACATATCAAACGCATCAAGTCAGATTATAAGTGTAGTCGGTCAAGAAATAACAAGTACTATTTGTTAGATTCATTATTGAAATCGTCAAAGAACTTAGTAGGAGCTTGATTTCAAAGTTTGCTCCGTGGTTGGCAACCTCTAGAAAAATTTTGTTGATTGTTTACCGGATAAAGGTTTAGAGATGAAAAAGATTAATATATATCACTCGCACCATTACTAGTAACTTGAATCCATTCTTAATTATTACTTGGAGATAAGACAATTGGGTTTTATGCAATTTAAGAGTAGAAGAACTCTCCGTTGTTCATGATCAAGGAGTGTCTTTATTATAATTGACTTACATCATCGGAGACACCGACAATCTGTAAAAGTTATTTAATTCAATTCTTTATGAAATTACGTAATTACTCGTCTGATTGAATTAAAATTCTACAAGGAACTAATATGTTAGTGTTTAGAAATAAAAATTTTAAATTTTGTTGCATGATCCTTGAGCCTAGTTTGGGCGTGTTGCAAAAGGTGCAACGCGCTCATCAATTGCTGTGCTTAACCAGCGGCACATGGTATCCGCCCATGCCTCTCACTTCCAGAGGCCATGGGGAAGTTTTTTGTGTGCTATGCGTGTCTGGTATTTCCAAATAAAATGTGAAAGACAAACTAGCAAAGGAAAAATAAAGAGGACAGAATATAAAATAACTTAAAGAAATTAAAGAGAAGTTCTTTAAAAGAAAAATAAATAAAGTAGGAGCTATTAGTCTTTCAGGCTTGTATCCCAAGCTGCTTTCCTTCTTTTGTTGCGGTCATTTCCTAAATGCCTCAAGTACATGGTTGTATATGAACATGTTGAACTAAAACTTATTGCAGTCATTACTGACCATTAGCATTAAGAGATATATATATACACACAAAACAAATGTAGAAATATATAGAAGTACAGATACAGAATAAGATGCAAATTGCAGGATCTCTCTCACCTATTTACTTCAATAGGTCTCCAATCTGTCGACCTTAAGGCCAAAATTTCTGAAACAAAAAGCAGAAAAGAAATGCAAGGGACAAATATAAAAAGATGAAATATCTTTATTTTTTTTATAAAAAATATCAATTATACAGCTTAAAGCATAAACACGCTAAAAGTTCATTAAAAACTATGCAATTCCATCAATTGGAAGTAAGTAACCAAGAAGGTACCTGCTGTGTGCGCGCATCAAACTGAAACAGGGCTGTTTTCTAACATTTCTTTCCCCGTAATACCATCCTTCAAATTTTTAAAATATACATCATAATCCTTCTCTGGAGGTGGATTCTCAGGGTCCACCGTGAATGGCTCACTGAACGGAACAACACTTTTAACCTAAAAAATAGGAAAGACAAAAGCAAAAACAATGATTAGAATCCAAATGCAGAATTTTGATTTCAAACACTTTTTCTAAGTGAAAGATAGAATGGTATTTATGAGACACCAACATGCTGTAAGCTGTATAAAGAAATCTATATAAATCTATCAAAATGTCAATAAGATTCTCATAGTCATTAACAGTACAAAGAGCATGATCCCTAATTAAAAAGTCCTGGATTTGGAACAATAAATCTATCAAAAGGTGGTTCCTATACTCTCAATTATTTTTATTTTATTTTTATTTTTTCCAAAATATCATAAGATAGCCCAGGGTCAAGGCCTAAAGTCTTGCTGTAAATCTATCCCCGTGGGATGTCTCTCTTTGTCTATAGCTCCTCTTTCACAGAACTAGTGACCACCAAAATCATCCCCAAAAGACCATAAGCTATCATTTATAGCGGGTAAGAGAGGGACACAGCAAAGGAGAAGATAGTTGCTGGACTCCTGCTGCTCTCTTGCAAACCATAAGATAACGGGGACAAAGCCTAAAGTCTTGTTGTGATACTTACTCCCATGGATGCCTCTTTATACCCATAACTCCTCTTTCATAGAACCAGTCATAGGCCAACTCAAGCCCAAAATACCATAAGCCATCATCCATAGCTGATAAGAAAAGGGAATGGAAGGAGAAGATGATTGCCAGACTCTGCTGCTCTCTTGCGAACCGTAGCACTTGTTCACAATAACCTCCAGATTAATGTTGATGCTGGATACAACTCGGGAGCAGAGAAGAACAACAACATATCATCAACAAAAAACAAGTAAATCACTTCCAATGTGTCCTCTTTCTCCCCGACAAATCAAACCCCTATTAAAGGCCTCCAACATAATAGTAAAAGGCAATGGAGAAAGAGTGTCCTCCTGCCCAAGATCCCAAGAGACCTTAAGAAATTCACAAGCCACCATTTAACCATGACTGCGAAAGAAGAGAAAGTGATGCAAGTCCTCATCCACAGACACCATGCATTGCTAAAAGCCAATCTTTTCAACATGTAAAACAGGAAATTCTAGGACACATGACCGCAAGCCTTCTCATTATCAAGCTTACAAAAATCACTCCATTAGCCACACTTCTAAATAAACTATCCACCACCTCTTTTCCAATTAAAGCAATGTCAGGATTTCTCTATATCTGACAAGGGCATGGCAACACTCTCATACCATCCTTCCCACAACTCTACCCACCTTCCATGCCAGCACCTTTGCAATGAGCTTGCAGATGCAGTCCACTGGGCTAATGAGTCCAAAATATCTAATATTTAAAGTCTCAACAATTTTTTGTATGCATACCAAAAAAAGGTGTTTTCTCGACTAGATATAAATGAACAGTTTTCACAAAATTCCTTGAATAAAGCCATAAAGTCTTCATTAATGTCGAATTATGTTAGACGCTCGTATTGAAACTGTCTAGCCCAAGAGCCTTGTCATCCTTACAACTAATGAGAGCTTCACAAATCTATCCCTTGGAAAAAAACACTTCAGCCATGTCCAATCTTGCTCTTTGAAGTATTGAACTCTAAACCATCTAGAGTTGGTTTTAATGTAAGTCATTGGCATTACAACTCCTCAAATAAACTTTCACCTTTTCCTTCACTTCCCAATTCTCTTTAACAACTTGATCATTGATATTCAACTCCTTCACGTAGTCGCATCTTCTATGATGACTAATCCTACCATGAAAAAAATTGGTACTCTGTCCCCTTCTTGATCCAAATGGCCCTCGATTTTCTTTGTCCAAGTAATCTCTTCCATGAGGAACAACTTAGTCAGATCAAGAACATCAATCCACCTTTCGATCTCCTCATCTTAAGCCTTTTTCCCATTCCAGCTTGTTGAGCATTTCCACCTCGCCGAAGAGGCACTCTCTCTTCAAAAAACTTTGTCCCAAACTCTTAGCTGCTCCACTAATTGATCTTATTAGCTTTGACATGTGATATTTTCTTAGCAATCTTATAGCTAGTAGAACCCTCCACAGAAACCTCATTCAATAAACTCTGTCAAGAAAACATGAAACCTTGAGCTATTATTTCAAATATAAATGGCCAAATTCCCAAATTACACCGTTGGACTCCAGGCATAAAGGAAAGTAATTTGGAATGGCACACAGAAAGAGTTTCTGCAACAAACCAGGCATTTGTGATTGAAAGGAAGCAAAATAATAAAGCAGTCTATTCTAGAGAGACTAAGCCTATCACTAGAGTTGGAAAGTATCAACACTTCTTTTGGTTTTAAATTGTAGTCAGTTTCTTTTAGCTTCATTCAAGTGGCATCCTAGATTTTCAAAATAAGAATGCGATACTGTTGCCCCATGTCATGTCTCTTAGAAATCTCTTAGAAATAAGTGCCAGGAAGCAAAAACAACAAAGCAGTCTATTCAAGAGAGATTTGGCCTATCACTAGAGTAGGACAATATGAACACTTTGTTCGGTTATACATTGTAGTCAGTTTCTTCTAGCCTCATTCAAGTGGCATCCCTAGATTCATGAACACGATATTGGTTTCCCCAATATCATGTCTTGCAAAAATCTCTTAGAAGTAAGTGCTAGGAAACTATACATATAAATATCTCAGTTTTCCTTATTCTGGTCTTCTTGACAGTTGCTATTACTACTTAGTACAAGATGAAACAAAGAGCTGTCTTTCATGACAAACAGAGCTCAGAATCTTCTTGGAAGATTGGAACTCATATGAAACAAGATTGAGCATTCTATAGTTCTGCAACTTTTGTCCCTACACTAAAAAAACTTCATATCTTCAATCATTCAATTTAACATGATAATAATAGATTGCATAAGGATGCATCAGAACCATTGAGCTAAGTGTACACTCATCGACATTCTGTGATGATAAACCTGTAATACTGAGAGTAGAAAATTGAGTACATGAGAGCTTATAACTATACTAAGTTATGACCATATTTATTTGTCCATTTTTTCCAACTGGTTATTTATTGAGAATTCAGACCATCAACTTTTCTTTGTAAGAAGATCCAGATATTATATCAAGCTTCGTATAATCAGGCTTCTGAGTATTTTTATTTTGAATTGTCCAATAAAGAATCCCAACATTCACATCTATCAATAAATTCTTTCCAACTACTTAGAAATAGGAGAGTTTCAAACAATTTGAATACAATCTTTAAAATCCTAAACATCACCTGTCGTAATAGCGTATACTTAACTGTCTAACATAAATCATTAAAGCAAAAGGAAAAGACCATCAACCCAAGAAATTTCCCCACATTAAATATAATGCAACACAATGAATACAAGAGATGAGGATATCTTACAACCTCAAAAGTTTTGTTGCATGCAAATGGACTCTCTAAGGCAGCAACGCATATCCGAGCAACCTCTTCTCTTGATATCTTGCCCTAAATGTTAGACAATGAATGTAAGTCTCCAAATAATCCATATGTTTGAGTCAAATATCAGCAACTTTCAATCAAGTTTCCAATACCGATCACATATTGCACATAAAAGCAGAATAAAGAACAATTAGCTAGGAACAAATTAGGCACATAAAAAACTAATAACACCCAGAAAGTATATTACATAATCTATATGCATTTTCCAAGTAATGCTGATACCGTTATGTTGTCGCCTTGGTCAAAAACAAGATCCGCCCCAGCAGGCTCCTCAGTCAATGCACATGGCCTCACAATTGTATAGGGAATTCCACTTTCACGTAATAGATCCTCCCCCTGTTCAGGATAGAGGACAATTTTCTAAGAACATTGAAAATGAGCAGAAAAGGACCTTCAAATTTACCAGCTAGATGGCTATAACAAAGAGAGTTCCATAGAAGATTTTGAAGGGATTATATGGGTGACGTATGGTGTCAAGTTAGAAGAATTATAGCAGATGTGAAAATGCAAATCCTTAAAAACTTCTGTAAGTGGAATGACAGAGTAAAGTACCAGAATAAAATACTAAATAAGTTTTCAATTGGTTTTATAAATCCAATTATTTTAGTAAGGAACTTCCGACCTTTAATAAGTAAATCTGGGGGCTCATTCTCATTATGATTATGCATGTTGTGCTAGATTCTGGTAACTATTAAAACAAGTTTATAATCCTTGAGTATAAATATATACTAGTCTATACCTTTACTCACCTACTCTGAGTGCAAAATGACTTTCAAACCAAATTCTTCTTTGTTTATTGCTCAATGAGCATAATCAAAAAAGCTTTTTTCGTTCTAGTAATAATTTGTAGATAGCAAATTGTACTTGCAAAGATCATCTATTAATAAATATGGGTTCCATATTAACCTATATGCGCAGAATAGAGCTAAACCTTCAACTTGAATGTAAGTATAAAGTCCAATTCCTTGTTTAAGCGCACAGCTGGAGGTTGTTTACTTAGATCCAGTCCAGGCCTGTCAGGTCGGGTCACTCCTGCAGAGCTCACATGTACAAACCTACAAGTGATGCAACCACAAAGGATGTAAATATATCAGTTAAATCAAATTAACAATATAGATGTATGCACCACTATGGTGTTATTGAATGATTCTTTGGATTTTTTTTTATTTTTTATTTTTTTTTTTTGAGAATGGTTATTGAATGGTACATGTCTAGTACTTCAATAGAAGGTCCCGGATTCATTAACAAGCATATGCCCAAGGATTTTACCGTTAGATTTTCAAAAAGCCTTTTGGAAAGTTGATTGAGCCACTGGCATCTCAATGGAACCATAGTAATAGACTGTGTCAAAGTGATAATTATTGCTCACTATAAACATTTCATGTCAGATGGATATTCCAATAATTTTTTTAAAAGAAAAAGTATATTACATACATAAACGCAAAAAAAGGTTCCATCCATGAATCAATATAAACATTTCACGTCATATGGATGCTCCAATGATTTTTTTAAAGAAAAAAATATATTACATACATAAAGGCAAAAACGGGTTCCATCCATGAACCAACAATAACAATTTGTTTTTTTGAAATAAGCCAACAACAACAAAAATTAAACAAGGGAGTATGACAAAAAATCAATGATGTCCTCTCCACTCAAGAGAGGACTCATTAGAATACATGGAGTTTGAAATCATTGATTAGCTACGCCTATCGCCCCAACACCTCAAGTTCCTAACAAAAGAAATATAAATATAATACATGTGTGTATATATTTGTAGGAAAACAAAGTAAAAAATTGTTAAACCTGGGAGTGACAGGTTCCTTTATATATGTCTTAATGATAGATACAGGAAGTTGAAATGCTCCTTCCACAAATGTAGGATTCAGATTTCCATCATACTCAAACTTGCTGAACATAAGCTGCAAAGGCAATGCAGTCTTTTTAAGTAAGCAACCCAGCAGAAAAAAATGGTACATAACATTTTCGTCCTATGTCTTAGCCGCCTATGATTTTGTTTTTGTCAATTTAATATCCAGCGATTTAGGCCTCCATTTGTTAATAAAGATATTTTTTTAATTTTCATTTTTTAAATTTACATGTAATTCATTTACAAACCCATAAAAATTATTAATCAATAATAAACAGAACAACAGTGAAAATTATTAAAAAAATTAGCAAATTTCACAATATTATTTTTAATGTTTTCAAGAAAACTATTTTATTAATACTTTGGTTATCTGCAAATATTAATCCTTGCATACTTTCATGAATGAAGACGTAAACGGTACATATGAATTTAGAGAACAAACCTAAAAAATATATCATGTACCATAACGAGGGTTAGTTTTTTGTTACTTCATATAAAATTATTAATTTATTAGGCTTTTAGTTTGTAACTTTTTCATTTTTCCCCTAATTTTCATTTTTTAAATTTTGAAATTCCATGGGTTCTTATTTAGAAACCTAGACACATACACATATTTTATAAGAATCTAACCATTTAATATTCTAATTTAAAAAAATAAAATCATAGGTACTCTGACTGCTACAGAAAAAATCAGAGTATAAACTGTATAAAGTCAAACAACAGGAGAAAAACTGTACTTTGCCAAAGAAAAAACAAAAAGAATAGGAAAGTAGATGTATAAGCATGCCTGCAATGATAGGATATTGCTCGAGTCAAAGGGTGGTGCATCTGATGCAGTTCTTGCTCGGAAAATAGGCCTCAGTGTTGAGAATGGTAGACGAATCTATGAACAAAGACTATCTCAGACTGATGATATAGTTTCCATGACATAGCCCATAAATTGTCATAATACTCCTACTCACTGATTGCCACTGGCCTTCTAACGTGTCAAAGCTTGTTGTATAGCCTACTGTATCCCAATCACGACTGGTGCGAACAATAAGCTTATAGCGACGACCATCTCCTTTTACACGCAGTTCCAAACCATCATATGCAGAAAGATCTTCTGGTGCAGAAAAGTTCTGGAAGCAAAAAGTTTTGTATATGATCTTTTTTTCCGTTTCCATTTCCTGTACACATTTATTTATGTATGTGTATATCTATATATATGTGTGTATGCATGTCCGTCTATATATGTCTAGTTATATGCATATAGTACATATATATGTATATATGCATGCAAGTCTTATTGTATGTGCACTGATAAATATAATACAGATACATATACATGCATATATATTTATATATGTGTATATATCTACCAACAGCTATTTATATATATGCATTGTCTGTATATGTGTATATATAAACTTACCTATATATGTATTTGTACATATGTATGATACTCAATTATAAGAAGCATTTTTCTATAAAATAATTAAAAAAAAAGTTTGTATCATTTTCAAAATCACATCAAATATTTTGTTAAGAACATTCATGAGTAGGACTTGAATATTGATGGGACCAAATAGCCGACTGGTTTTTAAGTACAATTGTTTAAATGTCATAGCATGCCATAATCGAACCATCTTTACTGATGCTATCAAACAAACCAGGAATCCAGCCAGAGTGTCTAAATCCAAAGTTGGGTCTTTCCAGTTTCATGACCTGAACAGAGCCAGTAAATAGACGTTTTTCCTTCTGTTATGTAAGAAACATTAGAATTAGGATATACCTGGGACCTAGCTGGAATGCCAGCTTTATGTACATCACATAGGAAGTTAGTTATCCTGTTTTTAGATATCCTGTTTTGTCTTGCTTCTCACCAACCGAGTATTTAACCTAGAATGTAAGGAATATTATAAAAATCATAATGGAAAACCTTACCTGATTTATCAGACATTCTGCATTATCCTATTCTTCTATTTTTCTTTTTCTTTCTCATGGCTCTGTCTCCTACACTCTGCTTCTCTTCTCTCACCCTCCACTACTTTCCCTCTTTCCTTAACCTGGTCCGGCAACTGCTTGGGTGAATGAGTCAAGATCCTAACATCTGGAAAGCATTTGAGGATAAAAACAACAGTATGTTCAATCTGGAGATACAATAGCAAGGTTTGTACAAGTGAAACCCAACTAGGGAACCTTAGTTCAAAATAAGTACTTCTGGGACATAGAGGATGGATGGTCTCATGTAGGTGGCAAAATTAGAGATCATCAGGGCAATTGACCTAGTGGTTTAACATAGAACCAGGTTTAGGTGTAACAACCCAAACTCTCATTCAGAGTTCTGACCGTATGCACACCATATAATGGTAAAATAATTTATAAAAATATTTCGTACAGCAAATCTTAACTATAAAAATGAAAGTATTTTTATTATTTTAAACTTTACTGTACGAAGTATTTTTATAAATTATTTTATTATTATATAGTATGCGTACGGTCAGAACTTTAAATGAGAGTTCAGACTGTTATATTAGGTCTCTAACATTTCAAAATAACTTTTGGAGAATACTATCTGACGTTTGATTGCTAAAGTTAGGAACTACAGGAAGATTTTTGGTTGAGTTGCACTCGTGGTGATTGGTAACATCTTGAAGAAAAGAATGGTTTAGAATCATGAGAAGTCATGAGATTCTTCATTTTATGTTTTTCCTTGTGGATTGTGACTGGGAGATGGAAACCCATAACATTGTTAGGAACGCAAATTCATGTATCACTTGGTTGGCAAAGAATGCCAGGCAGTGGCTCACAAGATACACTTACTTCAGGACCCTGTCCTTGAAGGAGTTATACGTAAGAGAATGCTAATGGTGTCTACAGGATAAGGCATTAATCCTCAAGTTTTCTGTTCCCCTTATTCTAAAATAGAGTGCTAACTCATCCAAGTTGAAATTTTGATTTTTATAGGAAAAAATGGATAATTTGTATAACTTGATACAAAACATGATTTTTTTTTATAATTTTAAGTCAAATTAATGTGTTAACTAAAAAAATGAAATTCTTAAGTACGATGAGAGGATGAATTGGTAACTTTTACATGCTTGAAATCTTGACTTATTAATTTTACTTCATAGAAAAAATAAATAGTAAATTGAATTAAGTAAAAAAAAGGAAAAGTGACAATCTTATATCAATAAAATTAAAGGAATTAACAAAAAGGGCTGTATTTGAAAGCTAAGAAAAGAAAATAAAAAATAAAATTAAGAAATAGTCTAAGAAGTGGAACAACCATTTTCTATAACCTAAATGAAACCCAAAAGTTCAGGGGAAAACTGAAATAAGTAAACAAAAGAAAGCATTCTGGTTGATGGGCATCACCATTCACAAAATCTACATTGAAAAACCAAGATTGTGTTTTGATATTCTCTTTTAAGATAATATAAAGATAAAATTATCATTTAACTATTAAAAAATAAGAGAGAATGAAGATAACAAAGTGAATATGTCATCACAATTTACCAAGACTACTGACTTCTATTTATGTAAAGAGAAAATGAGCAACTACTAGCTTTTAAAAAAATACAAACTGTTTAAGGTATAATTTTGTCATTTCATTGACTGTGGGAAAAAAAATGAGAGAGTGGAAATGGCATGTAACCTGTTCCTCAAGAGTTGAGAATTGCAAGAGTGTATATATGGAGCAATATACAAGGGTTAGGAGAATTGGAGATAAAACATTCAGCCTACCTTTGTTCTGACACTAGAAAAGCCACCATTGTTGGCGGTGGAAACAACACCTGAGAGAAACACAAATTTAGAAAAGAATGAAGCAAAATAAAAGAACAGGTAGACAGGAACAAACCTCTAAAAATCCCAGTTGGTCCACCATCTTCACCTCCAGTTGGATCAATCTGAAATGTACTTTGACTAACCCCTCCCATTACAACATCATCTAAAGAACCCCAAGGGAGATCTTTAAAAGTTCCATCTGGCCAATGCAAACAAGAGGAAATAATCACGATGTGCCTTGCAAGAAATGCATGGTAAATATGGATTTTGTGCTTGATCAAGTTGGGAATTTTCCTTGCAGCAGTTAACACAGACGACTTTCCCATTATCACTCAATACAACTAACTTGGCTGAACTACATTGCAGATTGCGGAAATTTGTCTCCATTCTAAGGACATTTGACATTGCTTAGATTTCTGAACCAGATTTTCCATTGCTCAGACATTCCATTCTGCCTATTCTTTTTCTATTGCATCTATTTTCTACACACGCCAATGGTATTAATCAATTATGTAAAAGGAAAAACAGGGTACCTTCAACTCCAAAAAGAAGTTTCCCGTCTTGAAATCCAACACTCTTCTTAACAGCATTAATCAAGTTTCTCATGCCAATATACTCCACCATTTCAGGTGAAGCACCTTTTATCTGTTTCACCAACCAATCAAATTCTTCAGTGAATAAAAGTATGTCCAAAACCCACAAAATAAATGGGAAGAGCAGATTAGATTCCAAGTCGATTTCCTATCAAAGAAGAATCTGATTGTAGAGACCCAAGAAGACTTAGTTCAGCACCTCTGGTTCAAAGAACTTGATTCCCTGCATCACATCTTTGAATGTCAAATATAAAATAACCAACCAAATTAAAAGAAACATGCCAATTCTAGGAAGTTAAATATCAGAATAACATGATGGATGTGAGATTAGTTGATTCAAAAAGATTGTATTCCCCCAAAGATAAAGCAAAGTGGATACCTAGATAATCACCATTGTTTCTTTTTCTTTTCTTTCTCCCTAAGTTTCAACAATATACTGATGTCAACTAAAATGGCAATCTTTTGAGCATATTTAAACACCAGAAGAGACATTAATTTGTCAGATTCCTAATGGTTGATCGAACATACAAGATCAACTTAATAAATTTTATTTAAAACCAGATTCAGAATCATACTTGACTGTATTTTGCTCTGTCCGGGGTGTCACCTTCCTTCGGGCCAACAATAACAGAAACGGCATTAATAACTTTTCTCACTCCTTTAAAATACTCCGGGACAAGGGTATTATCCTTGGTAACATCTCCAACAATCTGAAAAAATGAGAAAACAAGTGGAATAATGCCCAGTTGGAAACAAAGCAAAGAGAAAATAGGAATTGGGTTCCCAATCAACACACAGAGTTGAATTCAAGTTTACAGAGCTATGATGAAATGCAGAATTCCAAACTGAAATTTAGGAGTTTGGGATTAGAATGCAATGACGTTTTATCTATAACCCTGGTGCCAAAAGAAAAGCCAACTTTTACTTATCCAACTTCAAAAAAGAACCTCATGAAAAGGCCTGATTCAGAAAGCATTTAAGTAACTGTGACTTCTTGAAATTTAGGCAGAAATATCTAAATGATACTGTTAGTCTAAATATTTGCATCAAATATAACATATTTTCATTTATCAGTCAAACAAAAAAGATAACAAAATAGAATTTTTTGCTCCTGCAACATCAGCACTTCAACATTGTTGTTCACTATAAAATCATTGAATATAAGTTTTAACTACAAATTAAAGTGAGATGGTAGCTGGCTCACCAAGTCGACGTCTGGGCCTAACATCCTTCTTGCCTTCTCTTCATTTCTGACCTGAGAGTGGATTTAAATGCAAATTGAGATAGAAAAAATTAGCAACAAGAAAATTTTGCAGCACTGAGGACTATCAGACTTGATTGGCCTTATTGGCGAAGTTAATACCAATACTCGGACAGGGAAGCCTTTGTTCCGCAAAATGTCAACTACTCTTCTGCCTACACCACCTGTGGCTCCCGCAACCAGGACAATGTCAGAAGTCGCCATTGACTTTGTTTGCTCTTTGGGGGATAATTTCTCAATTATAGATTCAACAAACTTCACGAAAACATATTATCCTGTTAGTCAATGCATAATTACAAAAAAGACAACATCAAATACAGAAGTTTTCCCACCTTGGCGGGAGAGGGAGGCCCATTAAAGAAATACAAGGTTTTCAAAAATCTTCCCAAGTCCCAAGTCTGTCTTCCAGCTTCTGCAGATATGCGGCCTTTATATGTTCTAAACCCACTTTGTTGGTGAACACAACACCTCTCTCTGTCATTAAGTTGAAGAAATGGTTTAGGAAGTGGAGAGGACAGCAACTGAGGATGTAAAGAATTCTTAGAAAATTTTCTGCCAACACTTGACCAACAACCCTGCAGTTTCAGCTTATTTTGAGTCATGAAAACCAAAACATCAAATCAACGAAAACCATAATCGTGAAATAAGTTTATTTACATAATTAATATGAAATCCAAAAATGAAACTAGAAATCTCGTTTGCAACTATATAATCAAACCGAACTTATAATAAAAACATGATTTCCTATGTAAGGCTATTCAGTAACCAACTGCAGACTAATTATTGATTCTCTTATTCCAAAAAAAAATTATTGATAATGTCTCCTTCAAAATGCATGGCATAATATTTCTCAACCATCCACTAGAACGAAGTATAACGAGATCAAACTAAATTTAACTTCTAAATGGGAATCAAAGTCTGTAAAATGTTTTCATTGGGGTTAATGAACTTGATTGCTTTCTTCAACGGCAAGAACTATCCAACAAAATCCACAACCTTTCCCTAAAAATAAAAGAAAAAAAAAAAAAAAAACAACAGCATCACTATGCTATTTGTATGTAGGACAGTCTGGATAACTTGCCTGAAGGTTGAATATGGAAGGCGATGGAAGTTTAGTAGAATAGCAACAGTCCATTTTTCGTTGAGTTTCAAAAAACAGAAATGAAATGAGTGAATTGGATTGTTAAGTGAAGAGAGAAGATTATGAGCCACACACGTTCACAGTTCTGGAAGTTGGAATGAACTGCTTTTTCAAAACTGAAATGGGCTTGGCCCATTTTTCAGCCCACATGCACATAAATTAATCATGATCACTGAAAAGAAATAGAAGAAAAATATTAACGGTAAAATTTTACATGTTTGAGATATATTGCAGCAAGAATATAATTTGTTTTATCAAATTAATTATTAATTAAATGGATTATCAATCAACTAATCACATGGTTTGATCATATTATGGTAGATTTTAATTTCCCATTAGCTTTGTAGTAATGTTTTGTCTTTTCCATGCATTAAACTTAAACCAAAAGAACAATAAGTTATATACCTTAAATGTGTTTGTCGAATCCTCGAAGAGAAATTCTTGTGGAGAAAGATAAATGTTTACTTCATCTTCTCTTAAATTTCTTGATCGAAACTCTCTCCCTCGTGTAACTTTATTTCGTGTTATTTGTTTTGAAAATATATTTAAAATTATATTTATCTAATTTTATATACACAGAATTTATATTCTCACATTAATTTTAAAAAAAAAATTCAAATTTTTTAAATGAATGATCGTATAATGACTAAATATACTAACAAGTAATAACTTATACTCTATTCGTACTGAAAGATAAAAGAATATTAGAAAAAACTATTTATGTAATTAATTTTGGCATCCTTCCAAAACTCATTTTTGTGTAAGTATAAAAAATAATTTTTTTGTGATATTTAATCTTAGACACGTCAGAAAAATTCGTTTTAATGTCAAAATCAACTTGTTACAAATATGATTCGATAACGAACATTCATAATCTTATTTATGAATTGCGAAAGACGAGTTATGCTCGGAAGTTTCAACTCAAATAATATTTAATTTAAGATAACGGAATAATTCTTTAACATAATTATGATTATTATTTAAGTTTGGTTGATTAATTAAGATTGGTTGACTTAAATCTTGAGCTGTTGTTGACTTTTCTTTAAACAAAACAAATTCAATTTCCAAGTCCAGATAATCGAAGACCTCAGTTGTGACAAACGTGGGTACATATGTCTACAACATGGGACATATATACATATATATATATATATATATTTTTTAAGAGGAAAAGGTCAAATATATTGCATAAGCCTTTATGGGCATTCTATAATTTAATTATTAAGATAATAATAATATTTTCTAAGGTGGTCAAATACACTTTTGTCTATATCTTAACAAACTTTGTTCTAAAATAATATACTTCATAATAATAATAATATTGTTTGCTCCTTCAAACATTGTATCAGTTGCAAAGCTTCTATTAAATATAATTAATTATTTTGTTTGGTTGCTTTGGTAGTTAAAATCTTAGTTTTAAAAAATATGGGACATAATGCAAAGTTCAATACCCTTAGTTTGTCATATGATTGCCGACTAATACACAATTTACACTGACTATACATATACATATATATATTAGTTATTTATTTTATAATAAATGACATTCGGTCTAAAATTCAAACTTATAAAAAATTTATAAAAATAGTAACAATTTAACTAAATATTTATTATAGAAACACATTTTTTGTAAATTAAATAAACACAAAATTTTACGTATAATTTACTAATTTGGAAAACAACGGAGATGAATTGTTATAGACAATCTTCAATATTATGTTATTTGCAATTTTTTTTGTATTACTTAAGTGGAATTTTTAAAAAAATTACTTTGATGATAATTATAGAAGAAAGAATATGTATTTATTTGTGAAAGTATATTCCTGCCGGCCAAAAGGGCCATTTTTGTCGGGGCAGAAAAAACGTACATATAAATATTTGTAATACATTAATAAATAAAGGAAGGATTAATTCAATGTTTTTGGTTGTTAGATAAATAAAACACATCAGTATCCCACTTAGTAATCATATTATAGGTTTGACTTTCAGAGTTTATTATTGATTTTATATTTTTTTTAAGGAATGTTTACGCAATTTTTTTTATTAATTTGTGAAATTGGACGGTATCAGATATTTCAATATCAATTGTAATTTATTATTTTGATAAACTATTTTATTTTTTTATTAAAACTACAGAAACTATATTTATTTTTTTTAAAAAAATTAAATTATTAATTTGATCGTTAAATTTGAATTTACTTTTTCTTTCAGTCAAAAATATATTTTTCCATACCAAATACTCCTAGACTTTCTAGTATTTTTTAGATATATTTATTGGAGAGTAAATCTCTTTATTTTGTGAAAATTAATTTTTTTTTTTTGTGGGGGGTAAAAATGTAAATAAATCAGAAGTAAAAGTAAATTGATTATACGCTACAGTCAAAATAAAGAAATAGAAATAGGTAGGTGTGTGCGTGTGTATATATATATGTACGTAGAAAATGGTACGTGTTAGTTGGCGGTTAATGTAAATTAAATTACGAAAAAACCGGTGGCAGGCGGCTTAAGCTGATATTTCTCTCACCTACCTTCTGCCACGTGTCCACTTTGACTATTTTTAGTAAAAACATTATTAATTATCAAAACAATTAATTCACACAAACTCCAAATTTGGTAAAACTAATTTCCCATTTTATTTTACTTTAATTTTCTCTTTCCAATTTTTCAAACTCCATTGATAGACTTCGCCATTTCCACAACTTTAAGGGTAAAACTAATTTTTTCTCATAAGAATTTATATTTTTAATTAATTAATCAATATTTATCTTAATATAATATTATTATAAAAAAGATTTACGTAATGTAATCTTTTAATAAAAATATATATGATGCACTAAAAACTCAAACTCATACTTTTCTAATATATATATATATATATATATTACTATTTATTTAATAAATAATTTATAACAATGACAATATTTATTTATACATTAAAATATTATAATAATCTCTATACTTTAAAATAATCTTTTTATTTTTAAAAATATATTTAAATTAACTCCTAACTGTTAAAAATATTTGATATTGTTAACTTCAACATTCACGATAGTTGAGTTAGAATGTTATTTTATAAGTAAATACTATATAGATATCTATTTGGATCAAACTAAAAACAAGTGCAAAAAGAGAATCATCCTCTTCCTTCTTTTCATTCTTCATCTTCTTCCTTTAGATCTCATCTATCAAAAGCCTAATATTTCTTCTCTGTTATATTTTATTCTTTTTAATTCAAGTTTATTCTCGTTGTCACACCACACTGTCAGTATTTATTTCACCAGCTCTAAGTATATATTGTGCATCCTCTAAGTAAAGGGCGATGACAACTTCTTCAAAGAGAACGATTTAGTCCATGTACTAAAATTAATAATGTCAAATATTTATGATAGTCCGAGAATGATTTAGAAGATTTTTAAAAGTAAAATGACAGATTTTAAACTTAAGAAAAGTAGAAATATTTCTTTAAACATTTATTAATAATACAAGAAGTATTATAATATTTTAATTTTTATTTATATTATAATTTAATAACTATTTACACATAATATTTATTAAATACTATAGTTAAGTTATAAATTATACTTATTCAAAATCATAAAAAGGATACCATATAATATTATAACAAAAATTTTGACAATCTCAGTAGGTTAATTCAATAGTAAATAATTATTTACTTAAAATTAGATTCTTATTATAATATTTTAGAATTAAATTATAAAAATTTTCATAAATCACCTACTATCAATAATAAATATCGATCCTTTTATTAAATCAGAAAAAAAAAACTTAAATTTAAAAATAATTTATTAAATTCATGCGAATCAAACAACTCTAAATTTTAAAAATAAAAAATTCAATTATACATTTTATTAGTTAAAATTTTATTTTTTTCATAACAATTGTATATTGACGTGGTTTTATTAAGAATTCATGAAAAACAAATCCCTTATAAACTATTATTATTAAATCTTAAATTTATATAAACATAAGAATACTAGGTGAGCATAAAGTAATACTTAATAAAGGAAATAAGCTTTATGCACTTCCGCATATACATGTTCCTTTGGTTATATATAGACATATGTGTATAAATATGTATACGTACATACACCTTCCTCGCCAAAGACTCCCATTAAAGCTTGGTTCTTTCTTCAAAACCCAGATTATCATTTTCTCTCATCTTGAAATCATTTCTGCTAGAACTTTCTCATCTCCTGAAGGCCTTAAAATTTGTGAAACATATATATATATATAGATATAGATATATATGGCTCGTTCAACTTCTTGGTTGGTTCTGATGATGATTCTGATTCTTGGGTTTGTCTCAGTATCAGATTCAAGAAAGGTTCTGAGACCAAATACCCAGAATTATTACAAGGGCTCTTTGTTTCAGAGTTTAGGATTCATACTCTCATCTTCTTCTCCAAGCAACAAGGAACATGCCAAGCTCCATAAAGAGAAGCTGTTTGTTAGGCATCTTTCTCGCATTGATCGGATTCTTCAGTCTGTTCCCAGTCCCGGAGCTGGACATTGACCATTAATTTCTTTATTCAATTTTCTTCACGTCATATATATATATATATATATAGTTTCTATTTTTTGTTTCTTTTTTCAGAGTTTTGGGTTTCTTTGTCCTTTATTTATTTTTTTTTGAAGGATTATGGAGCTTACTCCGTGAGAGGTGTGTATAAGGTTGTATTTTTTTTCCTTTTCTTTTCTTCTGGTTTTCTTTTTGAGAAAGGATAGTCCCTTTAGATTGATTATAAGAACTTTTCATAAATGTAATTTACATCTAATTAAAGATTATATATATATATATATATATACATATCTTTTTGCATTCTATATATATTTTTTTAAAATATCAGTTTAATTAATAGTTATGGAATAGGTTGTGCCTAAAAATTGAAGGGTACACATGTAAAAGTGCCACTAAATTGCCTATTAATTTTGAGGTTTTGTGTATTTCTTTTTTTAATTTTAAATATTGTGATTAGATAGCACACATTTTGATTAAGAATTCCCTTATTATACTTGAAGCTATTATTTTACCACAAAAGACTTTAACTCTCTGTCTCTTTTATTATTAAAAAAAAAAAAACTAATTTATTAATTTATAAAAACTATGCTTTGGGAAGTAGATATTTCAATTAATAAAAAAAATAAAATTTGTATTTACCTTTAAAATTAAGCAAATTACTCAACAACATTTAAGTCAAATTATATACAATTTTTAATAAAGAATTAACAGTTATATCTTATACTTATAAATAGATTAAATTTAATACGGTAATAATTTTACTTCAATCTTAAAAAAAAAAAAAAAAAAA